ATTTAACACGTGAAGGCCACATATGGCTTTTAATATCACATCACTGGACAGGGCTATAATTGCAGTTATATTAAAAAAAAAAAAAAGATACCCAGGGTTATTCACAAAAGTGGGATTATTTATTTTTTTTGAGCAAAATAGCCAGAGCTGATCTGGAGCATGTTTCCAGTTCAGTTGCTTTGGATTTCCTTCCAGCAGCATACAAATGCTACATACTGCAAGGCAGCTCCTTTCATGCCCTGTCCACTGAAAAATCTGCCTAGAAAAACATAGGAAATATATCAGTATTTGAGCCAATTCCTGCTCCCCATGTGCTGTAACCAGACAGAGGCCCATCTAGTGTAGAATCCGTTAAAGAACTGTCATCACGTTTTTACTTTTCATTATTACATTTAATGATTTAAAAAAAAAAAAAAAAAAAAATTTAAATAATGTATATTGATATTTTTGAGAAAATTAAATTTTTCTTTCCCTGGCTGAGTAGCCATGTTGGGGCAGCCTCTACGGGTATCAGACCACCTGCTGCTGTAATTGTAATTGGGAAACTGTAGCTGCAGGCAAGTTAGGATGAGCATCAGTTAGTCAGAGTCGATCCAACTTTTTATATTCTTAGGTATAAAAAAAAAAAAAATTCTACAGAAAATTATATATATATCTATATCTCTCAATATACTTGATTTAAACATTTTTAAAAGGGACACTGTAGGCACCCAGACCACTATAGTGTTATTAAAACAGATTTGTATTCCTAACCCTTACAGTATCCCTTTAAGTTTTATTAACTTTTTAAAAAGTGAGGACAGTTGTCCTTTAAAGGACAATAGCACAGGCGGTAAAGTTCCTGTTGGGTTCAGCCCTATTCATTAACTGCAACCAAGGAGATAAGTAGCTTAGTGCATGTAAATAAATATAGCCCCCAGCCCACTCCAGCGAGGGGCCCACTCTCATGGTAGCAAACAGCTCACCCGCTTCTGGACTGCTTTAAGAGAATTTGTGTTTTGATCATAACTGTTCCTCTGCGTCCCATACTCCTGGGGTAACCCAAATCTCCAGGGCCCATCTGGTGACAGTCTGTCTAATCCAGGCCCAGCGCGCTCTGCTGTCAGGATGGACTGTCCATCACAAAGCTGATAATTACCTGTACAGGTGTGATCTGGAGGAGGTAACTGCAAACTCCCATCTCTGTGCAGACTGGAGTTAACCCCTCCGTGATCAGTCATTAAACAGTCATACAGAGTTAATACTGGAGTTAACCCCTCCGTGATCAGTCATTAAACAGTCATACAGAGTTAATACTGGAGTTAACCCCTCCGTGATCAGTCATTAAACAGTCATACAGAGTTAATACTGGAGTTAACCCCTCCGTGATCAGTCATTAAACAGTCATACAGAGTTAATACTGGAGTTAACCCCTCCGTGATCAGTCATTAAACAGTCATACAGAGTTAATACTGGAGTTAACCCCTCCGTGATCAGTCATTAAACAGTCATACAGAGTTGTATTACCTATAGATGCGAACTGCGTAAGAATTCAAAAGTAAATTTCACCCTTCTATGTTAAAAAATAGCTAAACAAAACAACTGTCAACTATTTTGGCCCAAGTTTTTGAAGATTGAAATTTGAATTATTGTAAATTCACATTTTAGTGAATAACCCCAAGAAAATGGAACTTTTTTTTTTTTGTCCAGTTTGTAAATTTTGGCCTAAAATTTGAAATTCCCATTGAATTCCCGAAATCCACACTTTCGTTGAAGGTTTCACTTCACGACCGTTAGGGCTCCTGAGTTAGCGCTCCTGCAATGAATGACGTAGTTCACTGGCTGAAAGTATTTTCTCCTACATTTTAGTGAAGATTTTTCAATAGTTATTATTATTTATAAAGCGCCAACAGATTCTGCAGCGCTGTACAATGTAATCTCTTCATCTATGCTGTAGCCGATATATCTTCCTGTCACCAACTGTCTCAAGACCTTAATCTCACAAAATAGGAAGAAACTGAAATTCTGGATCAAAGTGCAATGATAAGAATATAAACATGAAACCCTTAAAAAAATAAAAAGGTAGTGGATACACGAGCAAGCATTCTGGCACCGTTTGCAACTAGGGAGATCTATAATGATACAGGATTTACGTTATTATTATTACTATTTATAAAGCACCAACAAATTTAACAGCGCTGTAAAATAGGTGGACAAACAAACAAGTTGGACGCACAGGAACAGAAGGTGCTGAGGGTCCTACTCAAACCAGCTTCCATTCTAAGGGAGTCGGGTAAAATGACACAAGGTGAGGAAAAGGTATCTTTCTAGAAGTCTCACAGGAGTATTTGGTAAAGTGAGAATTTAAAGTGAATTTCACATTTAAGGCGGGAGTAGCTGACTGGAAAGTCTAGGTGACAGAGAATTTTATCAGTTCGACTATTTTAACCTTAAGTTTGAAATTCACATTGAATTCTCACGTTAGTGAATAACCCTGTTGGTTTTTTAGATGACACAGTTGTCAGAGAGGAAGCAAGGTGCGTTAGTGAGGTGTGGCAACGAAAGCTGTTAACAGTTTGATTTGCCTTTTTCAAGAAGGGAGATTATAGAGATTTTTGGAAGGAATGGAGACGGGGTGAGAGCCTACTGGAGCAAGCAAATGAGCTCTAGAGGAACGGTGCAGCCTTGGAGATGTCTAGAAGGCGAGAAACATTCCTCCCTACTGTCCCGAATTCGACAGGACTGTCCCAATTTTCGGATCCTGTTCTGCCACTCCGTTTTCCTGGTGTCCCGCTTTTGAGGACAGCAGGGAACTGTCCCCATTATTCATAGCACGCTTGATTGGGGCACTCCGAAAATGCAGAGAAATCACATCACTCGCCCGCCTCCTTTGCCTACCACTGACGTCCCAATTCGCTGGACATCGGAGTAAGGATGTACGGGTGTGAGTATGAACAGAAGATAGACGCAGGTCTTCAGCAGAGCGTTGGGACCTGGATAAGGCATACTTGTTAATTAGTTAGGACAGGTAGTTAGGAGCAGTAAAATAAAGAGATTAGTAAGTGAAGACCAGACCAGAGGACTGACAGAGACGAGAGGTGTGAGAGGACTGACAATGGCGGGAGGTGTGAGAGAACTGACAGAGGACTGACAGTGACGGGAGGTGTGAGAGGACTGACAGTGACGAGAGGTGTGAGAGGACTGACAGAGACGGGAGGTGTGAGAGGACTGACAGTGACGGGAGGTGTGAGGGGACTGACAGAGATGGGAGGTGTGAGAGGACTGACAGTGACAGGGGGTGTGAGAGGACTGACAGAGACGGGAGGTGTGAGAGGACTGACAGTGACAGGAGGTGTGAGAGGACTGACAGAGGACTGACAGTGACAGGAGGTGTGAGAGGACTGACAGAGGACTGACAGTAACGGGAGGTGTGAGAGGACTGACAAAGGACTGACA